CTGCTCAGACTCAAAAAGGCACAGACACAGCATTACTAATCACAAATTCTTCCTAAAATGATATGTGCTTCAGCATTAGCACAAGGCCATTTTCTTCCATCAGCCTTTTCATCTACGCAGCGCGCACACACACGTTCAAAAACACGCAGACYGTGTGCATAGACTTGGGCTAATAGGCCCCGCACGAAAGCTCAACCATTACACAGCCCACAATGGAGCTAGTCAGTCCTAATGGGCCCCACCGAGGTGATGGGCTAATAGTCCCAACGATGGAGCACTTTAAGTCTAACAGAGGTGCTACATTAGGACTGGTAGGAGAGAGCAGAGATGGAGGGCGAGAAACAGGAAGGAAAAATAAATGGTACAATATGGCAGAGAGTGTAATTAGAGACACCAATGACAGGTAAAGGAAGAGAGCGGACAGAAGCTCAAAGGCTTTTTTTTATTTTTTGGTTGGTGGCTGCATTTGTAATTACACTGCTTTTTGGGGGGATGTACGTTTTGCTGGGGTAATGGCACAAAAACACAGATATGCACTCACAAACCCAGCGACGGAGCGAGATGTAAGTACAGCAGAGCTCGATTATAAGCCAGCAGGCAACCGGCATTCATTATTATACATTCATCATAAATTTGCACTATTTGAAAGCCGAAAATGAGCAGTATGCACACATTTTTTTAACAGACCACGCAACATATCATAAAAGCATGATGCACTGGCAGTAACGGTGCCTTTACCTCACTCATTTCTGCTGGACCTTGCTCTTTTTTCCAGTTTTCATCGAAAACACTGCCATATTTTTATTTGCACRGAGGTCTCTCTTCCTCCTTGTCCCTTTCACAAGCACACCAACCATCACAGAGGCGACAAATTACTTTCAGACACACTCTCCGCCTAATTTAATTATGTGCGCGGAGCACGAAAAAAATGAGGACTAAACATAAAGAGAGTTTTCCCTTTTTGCGAGTTAAATATAAACTTTTATGAGAAAAGATACAGAGGTCATTAATGACAAAGGGTCCCACAACTGCAGGACTTTTGAAGAGAAAGTGCACAATAACACCCCTCCCAATCATGAGCCAAATATATGGCAACCATCTGATCATGTGACCAATCATGTTTAATCATCGTATGAATATTCATGATGTGTATGCACACACAGATGATGGGCATATCTGATTGGCAGGTGGCAACAATTCAGATGACAGAGCCAGCTGTCCACATTAAAGAGCCTTTTAAACACTTGGTCTTATTAACATTATGGGCTCTAATGTGTCCCGTTTAGTGGGATAAAGTACGTAAAAGTAGAAATTTACAGTGGGGAGGACTCAAACAATGAAAYAAGCATTTAAATCCAAACAAAAATAGATGGAATCAAWGAAAATATAATGTAGCAGTTAGTAAATCCTGTTTACGGGCGAACCAACCGGCAGTAAACACAAGAATAAAACCAGACACCTCGAAGTAAGGTCGAGTAATTCACACTCCCTCTCCTCCAGACCATTAGGCCAATCAAAGGTGCCCTCGGATGAATATGACAAATCAGCCGCTCGGCCTGGATTGAACTGCGCTGAATAGTTCCAATTTGCTTCCTCAGTCGACCACCATTACGTGCAATCAAAGGCAGATCGGGAGCAAAAGCTGAAGGGAGCAGGTGGAGAGGAAAAATTGGAACGATGCAGGGGCAGGAGGGTGGTGGTGGATGGAGGAGGAGGGGGAAAATATGACAAGAAAGGAAAAAAAAAGGATGACATTATCAGCAGCTCTTATCGAGACGCTCTTATGGCGATGAATGATGAGGTGTAGAGAAAAGGTCTAAAAATACCACCGAATGTCACATAAGGTTTCTTACAGCACTCGTGGCTAAGTGCAATGGTGGTTAGATGGAGGGATGGAGAGATATGTTAAGTGTGAAATGTCTTGGTTAAATCAACTGAAGGTGGTGACATGTGGGATGTGCAAATCAAGCCGAGCTGTCAGCAAATTACTAAGATGAACACAGAAGTACATATACAAAGGAAAATATACCAAGGTGACAGAACTAAAAGATAGGAAAGACAGAGGAAAGTAAAGGTCAAACAACTTGTGAATTTATAGAAATATTTACCAGCATGGCACCAATGTCTGCATTGGTACTGCACAAACAACAAAGCAACTACTTGTTTGAGAAAGACACACACTTGGCACTAATGTGAACATATTTGCACAATATAGAAATTAAACTAAACAGTGAACCATTAAAAACACTTAGAAAGTTCTGAACACTAAGTTTTAAAAACAGGAAGTCTTTTGGGATAAAAAAAAGGGGGAAAAATCAAGAAAAAAGGTGGTGACATAATAAGAGCATTCAGCTTATTCTATTAGGCAAAAACTAGTGTAATTGTACAGTAYTTAACTTTAAATAACGTGCAATTTTGAGATATAATCAGTGTGATGAAGCAGGACTCTGGAATCTGGAAGTCTTTTCTGGTTCAAACAGATTGCTTTTGTAAGTTCATTTTGAAGACTGAAGCTATGTGTTGTAGATTGCGTTGCATCCAAACGTTTTAAGATCAGTATCTATGTAATAGTCGTGCTAAATCCCACTTCAAAATAACCACAAAGAAAGAAACAAACAAGGTAGCAATAAAAGTAAAAAGCACAAACTGTTCATTCAAACACTTTGCCCCCATTCAAGCTGTGTTTCTATGAAAGCTGCATTGACACTGGGAGGTAGTGTTAAAGTTAATCACACAAAATAGCTCCGGCAGATAAGTTTCAACACCTCTTATGGAAACGGAGGCACCACTCAGACTGGTTTGTCTGTACCTAAAAGTATACAAAAGGTTTGACAAGAAAAGAAAGACTTCAATATTCACGTTTGGAATAGTATAAAAGCAGGAGCTGTTCAGAAAATAAATAAATAAATCCAAAAGTCTCTGCTTATACCGGTTTCTGACAGACACTAATAATAATAATAATAATAATAATATTT